GCAGCAGCAGCAGCAGCAGCAACAGCAGCAGCAGCAGCAGCAGCAGCAGCAGCAGCAGCAGCACATTCCTAAACCTTCGGGTTTAACCAGCAGCAAGCGGCCAGATGTATTGCAGCAACTCGAAAATAATGAAAATGAATAATATGTTTAAAAAAATATAAATAAATTATATTTAAAATAAATTAAATGCTGTTTATAATAATGTTAAAAAGAAATTAAATAGTGAGACTTACCTGCAGCCTTATCAGAGGCGTCCATCATCAAGAATAATAAAAAAGCAAAGAAAGGTGAAGAAAAGAAGTTAAAAATATATTTTATTTATTTATATATATTTATATTTATATTTATTTATATATATTTTTGTTTATTTGTTTATTTTGTTCGTTTTGCCTGTTTTATTTTGTTTGAAGTATGCTGCGGCGCTGTTTTCGACGTTTGTTTGTTTTTCAGTGCTTTATGTTTGTGTTTATTGAAGAAATGAGTTAAAATGAATTAAATTAAACAATAAAAATAATCTGTTTCAAAGAAAAACAAAGAAAAACAAAAGAAAGAAGATAACACATGCAATTAAAAGCTGCTGCCCGGCGAGCCGCAGACTCCACAGAGGCGCCTGAAAAAGAAGTAAAAATAAAATAAAATAAATATTTTATCTCGAGTTTAAATTACAATTTATTTATTAATATTTTTATTTTATATCCATTAATTGTTTTATTATTTTATACACAAAGAAAAACAAGAAAAATCTTCACACGCCTTCATACTCAGGTGTACGTACAGCTGGCGAACTGCCGACGCAAAAAAGAATTTAAATTTTATTAATTTTTAAAAATATTGATGTATTTTTCTGTCTTAATTTGATTCATTTGTTTATTTTAGCCTTTTAACGACAGTATTTTTCTTCAAATACTGCATATACAACACAGATACGACAAAGACAACCAATTATAGATGGCTGCCCATACACCGCAAAACCAGAAGCTTATATATATATATATATATATATAT